TTAAATATAAGCCACTTTGTACTGGGGTTCTGTCTGTTGAAACCCAGAGAGTACTGACTAATACAGAATCATCAATTTTTTGATGATGATTAAAGCCACTGAAGTATATAAGATCACCCAGGGACAATGTGTAGATTGAGAACGAAGGTATACCTGGGATAGAGTCCTGAGGATCCCAGACACAAAAAACCCACAAAGGAGACTGAGAAAGAAGTCCAAGGAGGTAGGAGAACAGCCAGGAGAAATGAGTGAGTATGGAGATGGAGAAAATAGTCTTTTGTGTCAAACTGGGGGAGTAAATAAGGGGGGCAGTCTCAGGACCTGTTGATAAGGAGAGAGTTTGGGATCCTGGCTATAGCAATGTCAGTGGACTCGGGGAACAGAATGGGCAGAAGGCAGAGTGTAGTCAGTTGCATGAATTGGAAGCAAAGACACTGTGAAAACTGTGGTAAACCACTCCTTTTTAAGAGTTGTGGCCATAAAGAAGATGAGAAAAGGAAGCAGCTGAAGGAGAGACACAGAATCAAGGAAGGATTTTTCATTAGAATTCCATATATTTAAATGCTGATAGGCTCTGTATTGTTAGGGCTCTGGCTGCAAAGGACAGAAACCAAATTCAAATTAACTGAAGGAAAGAAAGGACTCTAATGGCACCATCTTTCCAGAGGCTGACTCAGCAGGAGACAGGCACCCCACCGTGTCTCTAGGAACCCTTTCTCACCCTCCACAGCTTTGCTCTCAGATAGGTTCTAATCAAGTGCCGGGGAAATGGTCAAAAGCAGCTCCAATAAGCACCCCCAGTGGAAGAGGAGTGCCTTTCCTCAACGGTCCTACAAAGCCCATGGAGTGACAATGACTGGCCTAAAGACTGAGAGACAAGTTGGGCCAGCCCTACCTGAACCACCGGGATGTGCAGTGAGAATGGTCTCGTTCCCCACTGGAAGCATGGGTGCTGTTATCAGATGTGGCACTGGATAAACAGGTAGGGGGCAGGGACTGAAAGACACTATGGCCATGCAATGGGCAGAACTTCACAGCAACTGGTTTAGGGCTGGTAGAGGGCTGACAGAGGAGGCTGATCAAGGAGTCTCAGGTGACTTTGAACTTTATAGATTGGCCAGGTAGGTGATGATGAAGCCATATACTGAGAAGTTGGAAGAGGGAAGAAACTGAATGCTAGTAACTTAAAAATTCTGGGATTAGATACCCTTTTAGTATATTTTCAACTTAACATTCTGTAGTACTAAGGGGAACTTACTGAAGCAATAGCATTGGAGTAGGCATCCATAAAAATCAAGGTGCAGGAATAAAGCTGAGACATTCTGGGCATGAGTAGCATCCAGAGAACATTGTCACAGCTGAATTTAAATATTCAGGATTTATGATCTCTACTTAAATGGTCACCGAACCCTAGGAATAGTAATTCAAAGCTGAAAGGAAGGTCTGAACCATCAGGAATTAATACAGGATTTTGTCTAAAGAACATGGGAAGTTGCACCCTGCTCAGCAACTGAAGAGAGCCGTGGCCTCAGAGTATATGCGAAACTGGGCCATGAGGGCCCAAGGCTAACATAACTTAGGGAACCTGTCATTAAATTTGGTCCTCATTTGCAAAGGAGGAACGAGTACCAAGAGAAGTAAAAGCAGAATTCTGCCTGCTTTCCTTTTATGTTATTCGAGAAATGATTTAATATAAGAATATACCAATCTGAATGGAAAGGAGCTTTGTGGAAGGTCTAATATCGAGTATATTAAAAATGTATGACACACTGTATATTCTCACAGGATTCCTATCCAGGACCTCTACAGCTGATAAAATAACATAAAAATGTGATTAATAATATTGTAAATCCTGTTGATTGGAAAACTCAGGGACATATGACAGATTGACCTGACTCTTTGATTTAAGCCAATATCACTGAAATAAACTTTCATATCCTGAGAAAGAATAATATCTTGCCTGCAGGATAGAATACAGCATCAGAAAACACAGTCATCTTTTGAGGTTTGTTTTTATACATTAAATGCTCTTGAAACATTTTATATCTGAATCTTTATATCTAGATACCAAGCTACTAGCTTAGAATTGTCATTATTTCATGAATCCTTCCAAATCATACATATAATTTCTGATTCAAAATAAAGCAACAGAAAAAAAAAAAGAAATATGCCAAGATGCTAATAGTGAAAATATTTAGGTTGATGAGTCTGAGTGCTTTTTGTTCATTTCTTCTTAGTTTATGGGATTTTTCCAAGTTTTCTACAATATGATGGATGGGGCAAGGGCAGTGGGGGGTTGGGTGGAGAAGCAAATGTTCACATTAAAAAATAAAGACGTTAAAAAGGAAAATCATTTTAAAAATGATTGTAAGTGCTTCCCATCAGATCTAGACAAAAGGTCACTAAGGTTTAAGTGAATCTAACGAACAACCAATGGATAACAGAATGCCGTATGTAACAAGAGCTATCACTGCAAACTCCCAAGGAGAGCCCAAGCTGCTGTTCAGTGTTCATCTGGAAATGCAGACTATCCACTCTCTTTTTGTTAGACTCCTCTCCCTTTGCAGTGGGTACTTTTTCTTTTGGCTTCCCCGTGTCTTTCCTTCTGTTACCCACATGCCAACATTCTTCTGAGGAAGCAGCCAGCCCTTCCTCCAATCTCAGACCTTGTGTTTACAGAAGAGAGGATTCCACTCAGGGCCTAGGATTCATTGCTGGTCACACAGATCACATTCTCTGGCTATACCGATTCAGGAATGGGCACCCGATTCATCTTCAGAGATGCAGTAAGACTGAGGGAGAAGAGCTTTTTACAGTTGTTTTGCTGGCATACCAAGCCTGAGAATGAAACTCACCTAGAGAAAGATTATGTCCTCATTACATGGTCTGAGCCTCTGGATCAAGTCAGCCCTGAAGCTTTCACTGCATTTGGGCATCTGTTGTAGGAGCCAATAAATTCCCTTAGTGCTTAAGTCTGTTCGACTTAAGTTTTTATTCCTTACAATTGAGGGTCCTAATTGATATAACCTTTTATCTATTTAATATCCTACTCAGGGAATGCCTTGGTGGCTCAGTCGCTTAAGCGTCTGCCTTCAGCTCAGGTCATGATTCCAGGGTCCTGGGATCGAGTCCCGCATCAGGCTCCTTGCTCAGTAAGGAGCCTGCTTCTCCCTCTCACTCTGCCCACTTGTGCTCTCTCTGTGTCAAATAAATAAATAAAATCTTTTTTTAAAAATCCTACTCAGGAGCCTTGTTACCAGAGCATTTAATTGTTGTACCTGTATAAGACTAACAGAACTGTGCAAGGCAGACTCTTGGAGTTGTGCTCCTTTTAATGCATAAAATTTAGGTATTTATGCAGCACTTTGTCTTTTAGACCCTGAGTACCAAAGATTGCACACTGAAGACATAAGCACAATTATCAATGCTTATAAATTACAAATAAATCAACCCTAAAGTTAAATAATATATACAAACATTAGTACACACCAATGTATTAAAATAACATGCTTTGAAAAGTTCTAAGCAGTGTCCTTATGTTTTGACAAATATGCGAAATGATAAACTCAAGCAAAGGTTCTCAATCCTTTTGAGTTTCCCTGTCATTCAAAGTCAACAATAATTTGAAGGTAGAGGATCTTGTATCTGAAGGTACAAAAATTTCATCTAGTTTAAATTCAGTCACAGCTCATTTAAGAGCACTCTGATATAAGCAAGGACCACAGGAGAACTTCTATCTTGGTTCACAGAAAATGACAATGAACACATCCACTAATTCTGAAGGCACCTTGTTTGAGAAGGAAAGGGCTCAGAGAAGAATAAAGTATATGCCATCCTCTGTTTTCTTCTCCTACAGGAGAGGGATTCAGTGGCATATGACAGTACAACTAAGAAGGTGAATGGAAGTCAGAGAAAAGCAGATCATCATTGCTGGAGACCACTCTGGCAGTGGGTCAAAAGAGGCCTGCTCTATAACACACATGTGCTTTACTTCCATCTGCTATAAAACTGTCATAATATAATAATTTTGACTGAATAGGATTTTTTTTATCTTCCAGTTAAAGGCAGTGATAAAATACCAATTTACCATGTCTGTTATATGAACATATCCCTTACACATGACACTTTTATTCAGTGCACATCCTACACAGCTGTACATGGCACCCCTGTAAGCGAAGACTATGATAAAGAATACTCATATACTGGCCTACACTGAAACAGTTCAAATCTTTTTTTGACCCTTCTCTCATATTTCTGCCAGGAAGAAATACTTTCCTCAATACTGAACATGTTAGACCTGCTCAGTCTCTCCTGTCCAGATAACAGGGTCAACAAATGCCAGATACAGCTGGAGAAAGAAAATAATCATTTTTAAATACTTGTCATATGCTGGGAAATATATTTTCTCATTTTTGAAATTATCTTTGCCTTTATTTTTTAATCTTTTATTACAAAGTAAATTTTTAAAAATCAAAGCAAAACAGTACGGATAAGGGAAAAAATAAGTCTTCCTCCTAACAACCATTCTTTTTTTTTAAGATTTTATTCATTCATTTAGAGAGAGAGAGTACACGTGTGCGTGTGTGCGCACACACATGCTCACATGCATGAGTGGGGGGAAGGGCAAAGGGAGAGGAAGAGAGAGAATCTCCAGCAGACTCCCCGCTGAGTGTGGAGCCTAACACAGGGCTCGATCTCACGACCCTGAGATCATGACCTGAGCTGAAATCAAGAGGTGGAGGCTTAGCTGACTGAGCTACCCAGGTGCCCCCTAACAACTATTCTTACTCCTCATAAAACAGCATTAATAATTTATTGAGTGTTGGGTGCCTGGGTGGCTCAGTCGTTAAGCGTCTGCCTTCGGCTCAGGTCATGATCCCAGGGTCCTGGGATCAAGCCCCATATCTGGCTCCCTGCTCAGCAGGAAGCCTACTTCTCCCTCTCCCACTCCCCCTGCTTGTGTTCCCTCTCTTGCTGTCTCTCTGTCAAATAAATAAATAAAATCTTTTAAATAAAAAATAATAATTAATAATTTATTGAGTGTTCTTCCAGAAAGTTTCTATACATATATGCATCATCGACAAAAAACAAAATACGTGTGCATAAGATATATAAATATTCAGATACACAGAATGCATAGTAAGGCAGGGATAAGTACCCATATCCCCCAAGTTCTCACCTGTTTGAAAAGGAAAATCCAGGAAGTGACCGCAAAGGAGATGTCTTCATTCTACTAAGAAAAAGAAGTTGCTCATAGTTATTCAAATGTAAGGCCAGCAGATACCCAGTCCCCTGGGATGAGAGTGCAAGGAGACAATTCAGGCCTGTGTGATTAGGCAAAAGCCTCTCCTGCCCTTGGTATGCAGAGGGTGGAAAGGAGATGAACCAATATGAAAAAGAGCCCGGTCCCCATTGTCATCTGGGAAAGAGGAAATGTAGAGTTCAACTTCTGCCTGAAGTTAGGGAAACTGGTTGGGTGGTTCCATAAGGAAAGGTTACTGAGGCCTCACCAGGATGGAAAAGGGAAAGCAGTTCACCACCAGGGCCAATGGTTTCCACTGAAGAGCTCCTGCAGGGCAAGTGGCTAAGACTGGTCTTTTATTTGGAGAATAATGACAGTCTGTGGATGCAAACTAAAAGCAGCCATCCCTCCACATCACAGACATGGGCCATCACAGCTTCTCAGGATCCTGGAGCAGTGAGGCATTCCAACAGCATGGGCCAGTGCCACCTGACAGCTGGTGCCAGGACCAGGCAGTACAACTTAGACCGGAAATGAGAAGCAAGGCCAGGAGAGGGCTGAGCAGAGTCTGCTGTTGCTGGCTCCCCCTAGTGTTGGGAGCTGGACTGACGTGTCCCTTTTGCACTGCATAAACCAATTCATTAGGGAAGGTGGACGCAAGCAATGAGTGGGAAAAATACAAAAGAGGTATTCGTCTGTGTACCAAATTAGTGAAGCATATTAAACTGGTTAAATGCAAGATGCTACATATTCTTATGTCTATATATACTTACTATATGTGTGTATACATACATATATATGCATGTGGGTGTGCATGGTGCCTATCACTATTCTTCAACTAGCTATTTAATATAATAATAATTTTTGGATGTCTTTCCATATGTGTGTATCTATCCCATTCCTTTCCATGACTATACACAATTCCACTGTACAGATATATTATCATTTATTATTTATTATTACAACAAGTACAATAAGTGTCCTTGCACATATATTTTTATTTATCTGTAAGATAAACTTCTAGAAGTAAAATTTCTGGAAAAAAGGTATGTGCATTTAAAAGGATAGGAGATGTGATGCCTGGGTGGCTCAGTTGGTTAAGTGACTGCCTTCGACTCAGGTCATGATCCTGGGGTCCTGGGATTGAGCCCCACATTGGGCTCCTGGCTCGGCAGGGAGCCTGCTTCTCCCTCTCCCTCTGCCTGCTATTCCCCCTGCTTGTGTTTTCTCTCTCTCTGTCAAATAAATAAATAAAATCTTTTTTAAAAAAAATAAAAAAATAATAAATAAAAGGATAGGAGATGTTGCCAAAGTGTCCTTCCAAATAGTTGTACCAATTTATATTCCCACTGATAGAGTATGAACCACTTTCCCATATTTTCCCAAGTACAGAGAATTAAGTGTATAGATTTTCCACTCTGATGGTGAAAAAAAAGCATTTCATTTGATGTTGCACAACAATTCTACGAGATAGAAATGATTCCCCCAATCTTTCAGATGAGAAAACCAAAGCTGAGAAAGGTTATATAACTCATCGTAGGGTTAACAATCAGAAGAACAAACATTCAAATCCCGATATATTTGATTCCAAAGCCCATACATTCATTCATTTAAATAGAGCTGACTGTGTTTCAGGCACTGCTCTAAATATGTTATATATATTTGCTCTTTAAATCTTTATATCAAGACTTTAAGGTAGATGTAATTAATATCCTCATTTTACAGATGAAGTAACTATGCCAAGGAGAAATTAATCTACTTGCCCAAAGTCAAGCAGCTAGTAAGTGGCAAAGATGGGGTCAGAACCCTAGCTGTTTGGCTTCTGTTTGCTTTATCTCAACAGCAACCTCTTAACATATTTTCGTTTTGCAAAGAGAAAAATTCACTGCTGCAAAGGCCCTGGCTCTACAGGTCAATGTTTACGAAGAGCATTATGAGGAAATAAACACGGACTGCAGAAAACCAATTCAATGGGCTTCAAATGGCTACATACTTCGAAATCCATCCAAGAGCATCCCCTCCTCTCTCTTTTTCAAATTCTAAATGCGACACTACCTCTCAGGGCTTCCAATGGTTGTCGATAAAGTGTAGGTCTTTTCTGCGCACGAGTCCATTGCTGTCACACATTTTGTGACATAAAGTTAATCACCTTGGTGCAGGGGACAGATGTATAATAGCCACTGTACCCTAACCTGCAAAATATTATGGGCAGATGTAAACCTGTCCAGTATTAGTTAGTGATGGAATGGAAAACTTTAAAAAAAAAAAAGGCATTCTTCTAATATCTGTTTTTACATAGACCTTTTTTTTTTTAAAGATTTTATTTATTTATTTGAGACAGAGAGAATGAGAGAGAGAGAGCACATGTGAGGGGTGAGGGTCAGAGGGAGAAGCAGGCTCCCTGCTGAGCAGGGAGCCCGATGTGGGACTCGATCCAGGGACTCCAGGATCATGACCTGAGCCGAAGGCAGTCGCTTAACCAGCTGAGCCACCCAGGCGCCCTACATTTTCTTTTCTTTTCTTTCTTTTTTTTTTTTTTAAAGATTTTATTTATTTATTCATGAGAGACAGAGAGAGAGAGAGAGAGAGGCAGAGGGAGAAGCAGGCTCCCAAGGAGCAGAGAGCCCGATGCGGGACTCGATCCCAGGACCCTGGGATCATGACCTGAGCCGAAGGCAGACACTTAACCAACTGAGCCACCCAGGCGCCCTTTACATAGACTTTTTAAAGTCATGACAGACTACCAGCAAATTTAGCATTATTTTAAATAAAGGGGGAAATGGTAGCTTGCCATCATATAGCCACTACAAATTAGCATATTATAAAGGAAATTAAAATGTACTTCCCCAAATACTCTGTATCCAGACAATGATTTTACAAGTTTAATAAGATAAAAATATCTGTGACTCCACTAACTGTAGTTCACCTAATAATACTTCTACGCCAAATAAAACTATTTTACAAGATTTATCATCTTTGAGTATATTCCAATATTCACTTAAGTATAAATATATAAATGTATTTATGTAATGATTTAAAGGTAAAAGGGAATCAATTCACAGGAGTAATTAATTCTACTAAGGCAGTTTCAGCTATAAAACTCAAGTGATTTCAAAGTTTCTTGAGCTGAGTAACAGGGGTAAGCGCTGTCTATTTTTATTTTTCACATCTCACTGTTCTTTGTATATTCTGTTGCTACAAAGCCAAAGACCATGTCAATGAGTTGTGTCATTAATACTGAAATAGGATGCCATTAATTAGGCTTACTAATGGACTTTGGAATGCAGTCAGTATTTTAATGGGCTTTTGAGAGCAGTCATCTCTTTAAGAGTCACTTTTCTGTGGTCACTACTTTTCTGTGGTCACTACTGTTTATGAGAAATACAGTTACAGCTTTCTCCAGTCAGTCAGTAATGCCAACGAATGTTCAAAAAAGACTTTACATGGTCCTTTTCATAATAATTTCACCTTTGACATATGATGCCTTTAACCAACATCTTCCAGGGTTTGCCCCTCAATTTTCAAAAATTGAATGTCCCTTACATATAATGATCAATTACACCTGATTTACTCCACCTGTGTATTACCATAACCATTTTTTTTTTACCACTTTGCTAATGTCTTGCATCTTTTTTCTCCCTGATAGCCAGGCAATGTGAATATCCCCCTTAGACTTCTAAGTACAAAGAACCTGAGTAGGTAGGGTCAGGGAGGTAACAGAATGCCAATAATGTTTTTCAGGCAATTTGATAAAGAAGCATGCAATTCTAGATCAATAAGTTTGATTCCAATGCAATTTAAAGTAATTACACACAGAGCTACATTCATTTGAGAAATACAGATCTGGTCGAGTTTCTGTCACCTACTTTTAAGTACCTATCAAATTATATTATTAGGCTATACCATATGCATGTAAATATAAAAGCTACATATATGTGAGGTATATATATGTCATGTCATGTATATATCAGTCTACTTGGCTTGTTAAAAAGTAAGTTAATAGAGGGACACGTGGGTGGCTCAGTCGGTTAAGTGTCTGACTCTTGGTTTCGGCTGAGGTCATGATTCAGGGTTGTGAGACTGAGCCCCGTGTCGGAGTCTGCTTGAGATTCTCTCCCTCTCCTACTGCCCCTGCCCCTCCCCCTGCTTGCTCGCCTCTCTCAAGAAAAAAAAAAAAAAAAAGGTAGGTTGATAGAGATAAACATTGCAGTTTGGTCAAAACAGTGGGAAAGTGTTCATTCATTCATTTAATAAATATATTTTTAAAGATTTATTTGAGAGAGAGAGAGCACACACACGTGTGAGAGTGAGGGGAGGAGCAGAGAGAGAGGGGGGTAAGAGACTCTTAAGCAGACTCCCCACTGAGCAGGGAGCTGATGTGGGACTCGATCCCATGACCCTGGGATCACGACCTGAGCCGAAGGCAGATACTTAACCAACTGAGCCACCCGGGCGCCCCAGTTAATAAATATTTAATGAGTCAGATACCTGCGGAGTTCCAGAAATACAGCAGGGAACAGAGCGACAAAAAGCCCTCAGGTCTTAAGGATTTCACTTTCTAGGGAGAGAGACCCACAATTAACAATAAATAAGGAAAATACAGGTCACATGGTGATAAGTGATACAAGGAAAAATAAAGGAGGAATAGGAATGTCAGAATTTATAGCCACTGTAAATAGAGTGATCAGAGAAGGACTTTCAGAGAAGGCAACATTTGAGTAAATACCTGAAGGAAGTCTGGGAACCAGCCATGGTGATATGTATGGGATGAGCATCCCCATGGAAGGAATGGTGAGTGCAGGGTAGGAGAGCATGTTCATAGCCCTGCAAGGACAAGTGTGGCTGGCAGGCAGAAGCATGGGCGGGAGAGCTGATCCAAGATAAAGTCCAAAAGAAGACTTGCACTAGATCTGAGGCCACTATAAGAATTCTGGCTTTTACTCTGAAATGAGAAGCCATAAATATTTTCATATGGAGGAGCTTAATGATCT